TGTCGTCGTCGTCGTCGTCGTCGTCGTCGTAAGGCGAACGCAACCGTGATCCATGCCACTGGCCATGTTTACCATGATAAAAGAGTTGCATGGTTATGCATGTGGTTCTGTTCCTCTAGTTATGGTGCTCCGCTTGGCGATCCTTCACGGCGGGCCGTCGAAGTTCTGCTATGATGCCACGAGTTTCGGAATCATTTTGGATAAAAGAAATTCAGATCCTCTCTCAATTTACCGCGCGTTTTCTCTTGTCGAAAATCTACGCTCGATCGTTTTGGCTTTCTGCCATTGTAAAAAAAAAATTCAGTCCTGTTGTTGATGTTAAATTGTATCACAATATTGTCAAAGTTGCCAGGGGTTTAAATCAACTCAATTTAAATTACAAATGATTGTCATTTTTGTTGGAAGTGGGCGTGAAAAAACAAGTTGATCCGCCTGGATGAGGGTGAAATTTTGATTGCCGTACAGTCAAACACTATTTGTTGATAAAATGGAATGAACCAATCATTGAGAGAGATCTGCGGGATGAGGAATAGACCACTTAATTTCAACGTCATTTCAGTGTAATTCCAAAGCAAACCTTGTCAATCTTTGTCACATTATAACTCGTTATGTCTTCGCCGTAGCAAGTATAACTGATCTCCAGAGCTGCCACGAAGCTGAAGGGAAGACTGTAAAAGGACAAACACAACAGCCGATCGACGTGAACTAGTAAGTCAAATTGTTTAAATCTGTAGATTGTGTCCCCTCGACGTTCAAGTTTCTCAGCCGTATTATTAAGTTCAACTCATTTAAGGTAAAGTTGCTAATTCTGGGAAAGGGTTGTAAGTTTCTGTTTTGTGGGGGATGCTGGAAGCTGTCGTTAGTCATTGAGCTGTAGGGCGAAATTCCAACACATAACCGTAGCTCATTGCAAAAAAAAAAACGACATAGAGGTTTTTTGTTTCTATCTAGTTAAGTTCGTTTCAACTGACGAGAAGGTACCGGCGTGTGAAAGATAATATATTTATTGTTAAGCAAAATCTTAACATACCAAAATGTCATTTTTTTAATTCGGAAATTGGCTAGCTGCTTCAAACAAACAGCAGTTTATTTCTCGAGACTGGTGAATCAGTGTAAGTTATGCTAACTGGCACAACATCAGAACGTGTTTGTCATAAAACTAAACCCTAAGAATAACCTATAAGTTGACCACTTTTGTCCAGTTGTCTGGTTTTGGTTTTTTTTTTGTAGTTTTTCTTTAGATATCATCTGCTATACATGCTATGCTTGATTCGAAAATGTGGCCATTAAGTTATTTAGTTGCCAAATGATTTTGCTGGATGCAGTGCTAGAATGGGGCACGGCATTCCTTTGTGCAAAAAACCGGGCAAGAATTAAGTAGCGCATGTAACTTGTTTGTTTTCAACTCCTTTGGGCATTAAAGTTATGACTTGGTCGTCATCCAAAATAAACGTCGCCGAAATTTATGACGAATAACGATGCATAGCTTTCAACATTTTTGACAAGTTACTAGGTCGAAGAAAACGAAGGTTGTTAACAAATTACATGGCTTCTCCGGTGAATGATTTGAAAGGCTTTTCGTTGAAAACGCCAATGACTTTGTGGAGGATTTTATTTACGCTAGATCATTTATGTCATCCTTGCTTGCAGAGTTGTGCAAGGTGTTTGTTAAATGTTGTGGGTCAAATTGGGTCGAAAAATTCCTTTCACGTTAACTAATTTGTTTCCGACCTACATTAATCTGTTTCAAGCTGCTGAAGATAAAAATCTCATTATAATCACAATAAACAGTTTGAATTAATTCATCAAAAACATGTTTTTAATCATTCGAAATCGGTAATTTTCTTCTGTCGAGAATTTTTTCAATCAGTTGATAACATTTTGTCAACAAATAAGTTATTAATTATTGAAGTTCCTGCTTTGTGTGCTTAAGTTACTCGTGATAATAGCAGTTCACTGATTTTGCTCTAGATCTGTATATAATGCTTGAATGATTTAGCGCTAAGAAGTTTAGCACCTGATACATATACCGACGAAATATTGTTCTTTAGCTCTTCCAGCAACAAATGATAAATCTTAACCGTGTCCTACAAACAAATTCAGTTGAATGCGATGATTAACTGCTAATAAGACAACAATACGGTGACAACAGTAAAAAGGAAGCAATGCCGGTATCATGAAAATCAAACGGTTTGAATTTAATTTTCATTTAATGATTCGCTTTGGTAAACGTTCTCCCGAGGGTCATATGTTTTACGTGTTTGCACCCTTGTTTACACTAACTGCCCTTTATTTCAATAAACGCCCACATGCAAATTCCGATAGACGTATTTTCATTACACGCTCAATCTTGCAATGTCAGTGCTGAGTTTAAAAGAACAAAAGTTTACGGTTTGTATGTGAGCACTTTGAGATGCGCGTTTTTTTTTTTAACATTAATTAAAATGAATAAGCAACTGTTTGTCCATGGAACGGTTGTTAATTAAACGGCCGTCAGAGAAAAACCAAAGTAATCACTCTAGCCAATCACAAAGCACACAGGCAATCCAGTGAACCAATCAAAACTCAATGTAACTATGGACAGGTAGCCGACGCAAAGCGTGGGAAAAATCATGCGAGCGGGGCACGATTGGTGTTGGTTTTACTTTTGATTGAATAACGTGACGTGCGTTTTTTGGCCAATCGCTTGACGTGGTAGTACAAAGCCAAAGCAAACGCAAGTGAAAATCGCTCGACAATCGCCCTTTCTGAGTTACACATAAAGGGAGCTGTTAATTTCAAATGATCGTGACAACTTTGCTTAGCAAATTTAGATATTTCATTGAAAAGTTGCCGATTGAAGTAAACCCTGAATCTAAAAATTTCTTAAAATGTTCAGTAATGATTCTTGCAAATTCAGTGAAAACAGTTGAATTTTTCGCTTAGTTAAATATAGTCGCTTACCCTTGGAAAATCAAGTCACTAAATTTACGGCAGCCATTATTAAATTTCCTTCTAGGTAAACACTATTGGAGTGGCCAATTAATTTCCCCTTAAAGGATTAGGATTTTTAATGAATGAGTTCAAATTGTTTAATGTGATTATCATTCGATCACTTCAGGTTGAAACAGATTAACATGAAAACAATTTGTCTTACAAGATATTTTCAAAGGCCGTGCGTCATGTAAAATGCGGGACTTAATCCCAGGCAAACAGAGCGGCCCTTCAAAAGGTTTCCGGCAAAGACGCACCGTGTCGTAAACGGAGACATTTCATTACCCGGTAAAATATTTGTCGCTTTGTCCTCATCATTAGTGTTTCAATTCGTTAAAAATGTCACAAAGCTATATGGCTTTCACACCTCAGGGTGATAAAAGAATTTTAAAGTGATGCTAATTATTTGCGTTCATAGTGCTTAAAATTAAATTATAAAACAACCATGCAACACCAAAATAAACGAGGCGGTTACTTCGTGCGCGAATGAACTCTTGCTTTTTGTAGTTAAGCTATTTTCGTAAATAAGGTTAATCACGCTCTCAGAATATGTCAAACCCATGTCATCAAATCTATTGCTGGAGCAATTAACTTATTCCGGATCACGCCGAAAAACTGTTAATTGGACCGTTATGTTGTTACTGCCAGCTCTGCATGTAAAGTATAACTGATGTGACAAAACTCTATTACTACATATCAACTAACTCTATTACTACATATTAGAAATACTTGTACCACAGGTATTTCTGATTTGTAGTAAGAGAGTTCCCAAAATTACCCCTCCGACTACAAGTTCCCCCTCTCCCCCCTCCCCCCGCCACCAATTCTCCGGAATATATGACAATGGCTGACGCTTAACTCCGAAGAGCCATACAGCACTTCAATAAACAACTTTCTACTGTATGGTTAGTTTTTTAGTTTATTTTGTTACTGTACAATATGTTCACATTCGTGGAGCCAACACTTTTTGAAACAAACAAGCTGACAAAAACGATTGTTATCCAGATTTTCAATACTCATGATCAAGGATTACAAGTTCCTAAAAACAACTGTGCAGAGTGTTCGTTTAAATTAACTTCAGTTGAATAATAGCTCTTGATTATAAAAAGAAACTCTAAAAAGATCTAATACGAAAAGGTAAAAAAGAAAGACTCTTCGCCTTTTCGCGTGGAATTGTTAATTTTGAGTCAAAACCTTGAGTGAACTTAGAACAAGGGAAATTTGTGAAAAACGCGAAAATGTTGAAATACTGCCTAACACTGCAGAAACCAATATTGTTTTATAGCTGTTGCTGTTGCTATTGTTGTTCTTGTTGTTGTTTACAGAAATTGATGTTCAAGGATTCAAGCATGAAGAAGCTCATTCTGTTGGTGGGATTTGCACTGTTTTTTCAGGTTGTGAAAGGTAACTTAACGTCGAGTTTGACGAGTGTAGAAAATGTTTTACATTCTGAAATCTGAAAATTCCACTCAAACGGTTTTGGTTTTGGTTTTGGTTTTGGCAAGGGTCTGGATGGACTTAAACTGACAGCTGAGAATTGGTTAGAATTTTAACAAGTTAACTAGTGAACAAACCAGAGAGACGATTAATTTAATGGTTGGATGGAAAGAGTTTATAGAAACACTTTCCGATTCTGTGGTTTCCTCAGATACTTAATTCAGACAAAAACGAAAACCCATACTCATTTTCATGCTAAAACAATTCGAGATCTATTCCCGACTTCACAGCGGGGCACAAAAATATTACAGCTTATAAAGGAAGTGCTGGACTGTGTAGGGTAGGGGCGTTTGCAGTCACAGTTTAGAAGTATCGTCTTGGACTCCGGATCGAAAGGTCGGGCTTCGACCTCTTCAGGGCCTGAGGTTATTGGGTAGTGTTCTTAGGCAAGACACTTTACCATCACAGTGCCTCTCTCCACCCAGGTGTTTAAATGAGAATCACACTTAACCTTAAGCTTTTCTTACTTGCAGGCGCGAACCACTCTAGTCTTGTGGGACCTATTGGCAAAGTCACTTGTCACAACAATCACACGGTCGATATAGCCATCACCAACGTAGATGATCTTGCGAGGTGGACTGAAACTGAGTGGCGATTACAAAACAATGCCTCGTGCCAGCCAACATTTCAGAACAATAGGACGGTAAACTACGATGGTCTTCCCCTACCGGACTGTGCTTTTTCTTCACAACAGCTTCCTAACAGCGTCAAATACATCCTTAAAATCAGCGCAAAAAAGGGTGACCCTGGTGGTACAGGCCAGCTGTACGAGTATGATCACCTGTACTATGTGTCGTGTGAATATGGCAATCAGAACAAGACAGTGGCAAGCTTTGTGCCGGTCAAGAACCGTCAAGACAACGACTCAAGTATGTGATATAAAACAGTACGTTCCTTGATAAGTGGGTGTGTTTGGGGATGGAGGTCAGGGAGTAAGGAGAGGAAAGGGAAGCTAAGCATGCACTTAGTAGGCTCTGTTAAAAGTGTTTTAAGGGCAACAACTTCAACTGGTTACACAATATACATAAATTCCACGTAAATCCTTACTGTCTTGTGGATGTACACGGAATTCTTTCGTCAAGGGCGCAGCTTTAAGAAAATTCTCTTATGTTTGATAATAAATGTTGTGTCCATGTCGCAGTACTCAGGATTTAAATTAAAAAAAACAACATTTGATATTGATAGGATGGGAAAGTAGGAATCTGCTCGGGGGATGTGAGGATTTCTCTCCCCCTCCTCTCCTCCCCGAGCTAGCTTTACACCGGGGGACGTTGCCACGTGACCTTGACAGGTATAGAATAAGTCGTCATGGGAAATAACTCACAAAAAGAGATTAGAAAGGTTGCCCATTTTATAGACTGTTCACAGCCCTCTATTTTGTCGTATTTATTCGATCGTTGAACGCGCGGATAGAATCGCGAGAGAACTGGACGCCAGCACAAAACGGAAGACTTGGCCGGGCCGTTTTTTTAGGGTAAATTTTTATGTTGTGTTTTGAGGAGGAGTTGCTCGATACAATACAGCTTCGATACAATACCAACTAGCAAATAATCAATAAAGGTCAGGTGACCATCGTCAATCCTGGACTTCATCTTTGTATCTATATATTTAACAATTAGATTATGAGCTCGAGATTTCTATCGCGTGATAATTGACGAGGGCGCAGCCCGAGTCAACTATCACGCATAGAAATCGAAAGCGAATATCTAATCGTTTTGGTATAAATCTAAGTCGTTCAAAAGTCTAACTAAATCTTGTTCACAGACACTTCGAAAACGCAAGAAAAGCGGCCGTTAGTTCGTTAGGAATAGATAGTGAGTGAATGACATTCCTGATAGAACGCTAGTAAATTTATACTAATAACCTATATACTCCGAGTAATGCTCCTCTGTGAATCAGATTGCGATGTTAGCAATAGTTAGTCACTTTTTTATATCAACATTATGTTATCTACATGTATCTTTCAGGCAGTGCATTCTTCACCTTTAAACTTGAAGCTTTCTATTACTCTAATTTTACTGGTGAGGTCCCTAGCCCAGTTGAGCTGGGCAAGACTTTGTATTTCAAGGCGACGGTACAGACTATAAGTGCTGCACCTAACCTTGATCTTTTTCCTGTGCACTGTTGGTCATCAAAGAGCGCCGAACCAAACTCAGGCGAAGGAAACATAACTCTGATAAAAAACGGGTAAGTACATATATCCACTCTGTTGTTTCACAATCCAGGACACAGACTATAAGAATAGTTTATCTTAGCATGAAGTGACCTAGTTCCCAGGTTCTCTCTTCTTCTTGCCTTCGTGAAGTCAGACCTTAGAAACGAGGTTGCATGTCAAGTGGTCATTGGTCCATCAAAGTCTCCTCTTTTAGTGCTGCAGCATGCACCTCACCCCATGAGGAAACAAGAGTACCACACTGGGCGGACCTCTCTCTCTCCCTCATTCAACGCTATGTTCTCTTTTGACCTCCCTCTTTTCCCGGCGTCCTTCTGAAAGTACTGTGACGCATAAAAGACACAACTATAAAGCAGAACCCTATTTTGCAACACTGCTCTTTGGCTATTATATCAGGTAATCTTTGTTTAACTTGAAGAAAAAAGTCAGTCGAAAACCATTTTGTTACGTTTGTCTTGTTAACGCGTCCACATTTCTGATGGCCAGTTAATGGTCCCCGTAACGCGTTAAGTCCAGTGTATTCATCTTTGTTTCTTTTCAAACCAGCTGCGGTAACAAGGCTGTGAGTGAAGACATGTCCGAATCCTTGTCATATACTTGCGCAGATGACAGTGTAGCCGAGAAATTCTCCATCCGGACATTCAGGTACTATGGTGCTGAGGAAGGCGATGCAGTTTACTTCCATTGTGATCTCAGAGTTTGCCTGGCAGATGTCGATAATTCAACGTGTCAGTGCCCTTCTGTTTCTGACTGTAACCCTAACGCGAGAAAAAGGCGTTCACTTGCTGATGAAGTCGATCAAACTAAGGTGTACCACACGTCAACAGGTCCTTTTATTTTTAAGAACGACGAGGAAGAAGAGGAAGAAGAAGAAGGTATGTAGAATTCGTTTCTGTCAATTAATTAATTAAGCTTGTTTTCTTACATGTATTGGACAGTTCAGATTAACTAGATTTCAACACGCCATTTTCGAGTTGTTTTTCCCCTCTGTTTCAAAATGGGTCTGGGTGCACAAGCCTTCACATGGAAATGAGTTGCAAGACAATGAAGGTGCAGGAAAACTTCATTTCCTTATGAAAGGTTGTGCTAGTTTTGACTAGCAAGACTAGTTTTGAAAAAGAAGTAACAGCAACTCATTTCCTTCGCACGCACGGCAATCGAGAAACAACGAGTGAAGATAAGTGAAATTATGTTGATTTCACTTAGATCGCGGGAAATAGGTTCTGGAATTGACGTCACTAGTCCCATTCCCCCCGATTGTGGCCTCACTCGGACTTGAACCCAAATGGCGTCTTTTTTGGCGGGATTTTCCGAAGATTTAACCAAATTAAAAAAATTTTTCGAATTTGTATTCTGGATAATACGAAAAAATAATTTAGATAGAAAAACTTTTAGGGGTTAGGTGCACTTCAAATAAAAAGAAGTTTCTTTCAATCCATTTTGCTGTTATCGAGTGAAATTTCTTACCAAGTTTTGTTTATAGAAAATAACAGTTATTTAGGGACCAAAAGGAGAAAAGTTACTGAATAGAATTAACATCAAGGCAGGGCAGTCAACCGCGATGACGATCCTTCCTATCTGGCAAAAGTCAAATTTCGTTTGAGACCACCACTTTCAGGGACTTTTTTCTTAACTTTTCTCGCTACTTCCAGCTACTTTCGGACGGCCAATAGCCTTTGGGGGACTACAGATTCAACGATTTTATCAAAGTATATAAAGCTGATACAGCACTTCCACTCTTTTATTTAAAGTTAAGCTCTGAATACAGCACAGTAAAAAGAGAATCAAATATCCAGTTTAGGACCAACGCCTCGCCGGCAACGACGATTAGGCCGTTCTGCCGTTCTGGGGACGAGAATGTGTAAATCACTGTGACAGTTTTTGTATGACTTAATGAGGCACTCGTTTCCCTTCAAGCGAATGATTGACCTTAGAAGTTCGTCTACCAAGAAATAATAACCGATGATTAATTTCCATCACTTGGAAATGAGAACATTACAATGTCTTTCTCTCTTCTTTGTTTCAGGTGGTGAACCCCAGTCCTTTCCGACCAATTTAGCGGTAACTGTGACGGTCAGCGGTGTTGCTGCCTTAGCCATTCTCTGTGCAACCGCTTACCTTGTTGTGCGCAGCTGCAGCAAGCGCAGGCAACATGGAGATTTGAACGTGGCTACCTAAACTCCAGATTCCGGGGGTGGGGCCTACCATATGACAAGGTCGGGGATGCTCGCCGTCTCGCTTAGGGATATAAATCAAGGATTCTGATCTCCCTTAAGGTGTTCATGATNTCAAGTCCAGTCTACTAGCGCGGGCTAATTTGCTGAACAGCGGGTGGTGATCAAGCCTGTTCCGTTTTAATTGGTATCTTTTTAGGAGTCAAATAAAGCTTGAGACCATCCAGATTGGTCTCCTTTAGGGGTTTAGTTCAAATTTTCCAACGAGCATCCCCGACCTTGCCATATGGGATTCCCCCCTCCCCGGGCATTGTTGTTGTTGTTGTTGTATCCCCGATGTACGGGGAATAATCCACCTTACAAATACTACATGTATGTGGCATCTGAAGGAAATATTGCCTTGGAAAATATTAGACTTGGCTTACGTTTGGTTTTGCCTCCGTCAGAGTGACATTTCCTAATGGCGGGCGTTCATTTCTTTCTTTTTTCTTTCTCTAATGTGAGGATTTTAATAAATTATTATATACAGACACAAATTTCTCTTTTTTACATCTGGGTAGAGCAATAACCCTGATTTTAGGAAAACTGAAAACTGAAAACTGAAAACTGGCATATGTTCGACCATTTTGAAAACACGTTGTTTGAAATGGACTCTATAAGGATAATAGAGCTCTATGTAATTAGTAACTATAAATCTATTACTTATCGACGTTACGCCATGTAACTGACCTATTCTAGCTTGTACTTAAGTTAGCTCATATTAATTGGAAGACCGCATCACACAAGCTTTGTAGTTTCTTTTTGGCCTCCTTGCAACTTATTCTACATAATTTATTTTAATTTATATTCAGTTTTTAGTTCTGCTTTTGCGTAGAAAACAAGTTATTTTTTAAGAATCAATACATTTTTTATTTAAAAATAATAAATAGTTTATTCCTTTTGTTTACTAGCAAATCATATATATTTAAGACCAAAGCCTCCTTGTAGCGAAGCTCCGGCGGCCCTAAGGGACGCCAAGCGGAGCCCCATACTCATATAGGGAAGAACAGAAAACCCATGAGTTGATTTTCTCATGATTATCATGGCTAGTGGTATTGCTCGTGGGCGCGTACGCACGACGGCGACGGCGACGGCGACAGCGACGACGACGGAGTCGCGCAACATGCCTGCCATACTCCAAATAATAGGCTGACAGAGATATGCACCCTTGCTTTGCCATGAACTTCTTTGATATTGGACGTCCATGTTATGAGCAATTGACATCTGTCAAAACAAGGTATTTGCTGACCAGTTTCATGTGACTATATCGCGGGCTCAAGTTTACAGGTCATCGAGGTCACGCGTTTTTTTGAAGTTGACCGCTGACCAAGTGCTGGTTTTCGATTGGATTGCGGACTCGTGTCAGGTTAACTTGTTGGAAACAGGGCAGGGTTATTCGGAAGGCGGTTAACGCTAACCCAGGATTTAAAGTTAACCGAATTATAACTTTTTCTTCTATGCAAATGTTTTTTGCTGCTTTGTTTTGTGTATATGGTGATTATTAAAACTCAAAACAGAAGGCCAAACAATATACAGAAAACCTCAGCGCAAAGTTGAAAACTCAAATCAAAATTCTATCTTTTCCTGGGTTAGCTTACTCGGGCTCTGAACAACCCGGCCCAGGAGCTGCGCTTTTAGGCTGGCCTAAATCTATATATTAAAATAGTTAGTGCGATCATAGTTAGGGCCTCATAGTTAGTGCGATCGTCTCCGGATCGAGCGGTCCGGGTTCGAGCCCTGCCCGGGGACATTGTCACTGTTGTTTTCTTGGGCAAGACACTTTACCCTCACAGTGTCTCTCTCTACCCAGGTGTATAAATGAGTACCGGCGAACTTAATGCTGGGGGGTAACCCTGCGATGGACTAGCATCCCATCCAGGGGGGAGTAGCTACATGCTACAGAAACTGGGATAAGCTCCGGCTTGATAGGCCACTAGGCTTGTATGCAGACTTTGCCTACCTATCCTACCCTTTTTCTGGGTTTCTAAATCAGCACAGCGCGTATACTTTCACGCGTGAGTGCGTACATCTTCAACCACCAGTGTACGGCCTAATTTGAGGATCCTCTTGAAATCTTTTTACAGCTTATTTGCTTGGAACACTTCACCTACTCGCAAAATTTCAGTTGCTTTTCAGATTGTTTGTTGTTTGATTTAAGTAAAACAGAAACTGGGTAATATTTACCGGTTTTACCAGCTGGGTAACCGGGAGTTTTTACAGTTACGTTACATTTTGTTGCGTTAGATTATGGGCCTCGCTTTGAATCCTGATTTAATTTTCGGAATCAGGGCAGATTCACCCAAACGAATCGAAACGAACATTTCACTCGTAACTCCTGCAACTGATAGTTCAGCTTAACAATTGACTTTGCTCAGTTAAACTTGCTTAGTCTATTCGAATAGTTAATTGCCTCTCGCTGGCTTTTCTTTTATTCGGCGAGGACGAACTGTTCGAGGCCAGGAAGATTAAAACTGAAGTGAATTCGAACGGTAAAAAGGTAAGCAAATGAGTACGTGTGGCATAAACTGAATCAGTTTGTTTCCTTAAAATAACATCCCCTGGTTGAATACAATAAGAACGTTTGGCATGCACAAATTTCGGTTGCTCCAAATTGCCCTATATACGGTATATATACGTTTGTTTGGGAGTTAGGTTTCAAACTTTTCCTTGGATTTTGAGTCACGGGAACATCTCTTGGTATGCAACGAGTTACAGCTATTCCTACATGTTTGCTTTTTACTGTAATGCGTGCAATTCTTCAATAAATAAAACTTATAATTGACTGTTTCTTTGATGCCGTGACAAGAAATCTTTAAATCAGATCGAAATAGCGCTTGATCGGCGCGATGATCAAGCAACAGGAGTGACAGAGGCATGTAGCTCTTTGTATCTGTTTGTTGTGGCGTCATTATGAAATACATTCACCATACTATTTCGATTCTTGGGCCGTTAATTCGGCTTTAAAAATGGCTAAACGCGACAAATCAGAACAGATTATGCTTAGTAAGCACCTTTCAAATGGCCACATATGAATAAAAAGGGAAAGCGAGGTACACTTAAACGGGGCGCATCCCATATCTGTCCTGTAACCCAAACGCTAAAACATTATAAAGTATTGCTCCATCTTGTAAACTTTGTAAATAACGGTGCGATTTTGGCAGAGTTTCAGTTAAAACTGGCCGATAGTTCAGTCGCCAAAGACAGGCTCAACCAGTAAATTTACATACACGTATGCATGCACGTATAGGTTATCACTCACTGAACCAGAAAATTTTCTGCATGATCATTGGACGCACCAAAGCAGAAACAAGTCAGAAGCTACATTGTCAATTAACCTCAGTTGTTTTTGTTTATGAATGTTGTCAATTAACAACCAGGGCCGGGTTGTTCGAAAACCGGTTATTACTAACTCAGGAGTATTGATTTTTCTTGTATAAAAATGTTTTTCACTGCCTATGTTTTAAGCCTTGGTTGTAGTCTTCAGTTAAAAGAAGTCCCTTAGTTATAGTCTTAAGTTTTTAGCTATCATTACTGTACTGTATTTCGACGTTTACACTCTGCAATATATTTTGGACTTTTATTTTTTAGAGGACCCTTCTGAAAACCACCACTAGATGATTGAAGGCCTCCTCTTAAATATTAATTTATTATATTATTATGAGTAGATTATGACTTTAACTATTATTATTATTATTATTACTATTATTATTATTATTATTATTATTATTATTATTATTATTATTATAAGTCCTTAAAGTCTTGCCGCTTTTAACTAATGGTGCCAAGTTCAATCCGTGAGCCTAGGGCAGTCATAAGTCTGCTGGATTACTTGATGGATAGAGTCCTCCTAAGTATTATTAAGTAAGTAAGTATTATTAGTAGTATCCTAAGTAAGTATTATTATTATTATTATTATTATTATTATTATCATCATCATCATCATTATTGTTATAATTATTGTGTAGAGTGAGATCATTCAGTCTCTAAACAGAATGACAAACAATATAAACAGAAAACCTCAACGAAAGGTTACAAAACTGAAATCAGAATTCTCGCTAATCCTGGGTTAGCTTAATCAGGCTTTGCACAACCCAACCCTACATTTACGCATTTACGCGAAATTATCTCGACTCACTCGATTTTAGCGAATAGGGTGGGTAGAAAAGCTTCATCTTATTTAATACTTTACGCAGTCGATGTTAAATACAGTTTCTCTTTGTTGTATAAAGTGAGATGTCTTCACGTAAATCGGAGGAAGAAAACATTCTACCCGCGCTCAGCGACGAATCACTCGAGGAAGTCAACAACTACATCAAAGAAGCATTCGATATTTTGAAGCGAGAGACGATCAAAGTTCGCAAGGAAAAGGAAGCTTTTGATGAGGTTGCAAAGAAGATAGAGCATGTTCATTTCTCGAAAATGGTGATGCTTAATGTCGGCGGTCACTTTTTCTCGACCAGTCTAGCAACTCTGAATAAAGATCCAGGTATGTTTGGTATGTTTATCTTAGAGTTATCAGACGTTAAAAATACTGGTACTAGTGATCTGTCTTGAAGTTCAATACCTTGTTATGTATCAGTCAATTCGAAACTTTGACATCCCCCGTGGGAACCGCCCAGGTTGTGACATTTTGAATTTTCAAACGATTAATGGAGAAGGAAACCAAGAAATCAGTCACCCTAGGACCTTCCACCCTGCCCCACTCTGCTTCGATAATTACTTAATTATAAAAGTAACTTTTAAGTGATTAAATCTCCCAAGCAAACCTTATACTTATATTTAACACAGTGCATTGCTTTTAATAGCCGCCCTTATTTCCAGCTCAAACCAACTTTAAGAAGAGCGGTATAACGGTGTTGTCCCTTGATGCCTTTAAGCTTCACCATGGCCATGATTTCGAGGTAACATCTTCAAATCCCAGTTTACCCCTCTCATATGGTGTCAAATTTTCCACTCCAATAACAATCCTTCAAGTCAAATTTTCGCCCTCCCCTGAGCACATCAACTAGTCAAATACCCAGGTATGCCTGGGAAGGGATGTTTTGTTTTCATTATCTTGTTTTCCAATGGTAGGTTCGATGTTACACGCCATGTTTTCAAGCAGATTTGACACAAAGCCAAGCGAGGATGGATCTTACTTCATTGATCGAGATGGAACTCACTTCCGGTATATCCTGAATTATCTTCGCACTGGGCAGCTTATTGTGCCTAAAGACGAGATGGTTCGAATTCGCGAAGAGCTACTGGCGGAGGCTGAATTTTATCAAGTTGAGGGAATCATCAGTGAGCTTACTGCGAGGCCATTCAAGGATTCTGTTGTTCTATCCTCAGATCAACGCGAAACCTTGATGAATTGGTTGAAGGAAACTCAAGCACTCAATAACACCGGGGACAACTTGTTCTTTGGCTTGTTATATCGTGCTTTTCGTGATGGCTGGGATGCTGCCGACTTTCACGCCCGATGCGACTACAAGGGTCCAACGGTAACGGTGATCAAGAGTGGCAAATACATATTTGGAGGCTATACCGAGCAACAGTGGGAACACATGGGTAAGCATTTTAAGCTAGCGTGATTGATTTAGGCACACTTTACAAAACAAGATCTTGGTTAGATGTTTCAGACGATCAGCCCTGACATTTTCCTCTGGGATTCTTTCTAATTTCTCCTTTGGGGAGTTAAGTGCAAATTAAATATATCTAATTGTCAAGTTTTTTAGTACTCTTAACCTCTTTGGATTTTGAGACTACGACTCCATAGTAAGGCCTAGACCATCATCCTGAACGTCGAATTTAATTGACCAAATATTTCTTTATAAGCTTTCGAAGGTTACAGAAAAGCTAGCGATTCGTTCCTGTTCAGCCTTGTTAACCCAAGTGATCTGCCGCCAACAAAGATGTCTTTGAAAGCCGGAGAAGAAGAATTCGCTATCTTCTGCAGCAATGACCGTGGGCCAGTATTTGGAAGAGGTGCCGATCTTTCAATTGCGGATTCTCCCAAGTCCTGCGGATGCTCTGTAGACCTGGATCACTCGTACCAGTGTCCACCTGATGAGGATTCTGAGACGTTTTTAACAGGAAATGGGGAATTTTATGTCGATGAAATGGAAGTTTTTGGGTTTGAGAAGTGATAAATTAAACTGCTTGCTGGTTGTTTGACTGAACAGAAAAATGTTTTGCTAGGGTAATGATCCGGCGTCTCAGCTGGAAAGTCTCTGTCGAACCTAGCTTTTGAAACGAGAGAATATCTCTGTTAACACATAGCTCTTAGAATGTTTAAATATGTTAGATAGCTAATAATTGCGTTCACAGAATGCTTGCTAATCTTGCGCGTGGCTTCGCGCTTGATCACGGTGGCGTACGTGCTTCTCTTGTTTCCAATCTGAAGCGATAAAGATTGGCCAAACGCCTCAGTGCTTTTCTCAATTCTCGTTTGTTGTCGTCTCCTGTCGACTAATGAGGACCCAGTAACCTGATGCAAACTGCTGTTCAGGGGTAACGGGGGCTATGGGACTTGGGACTACTTACACGCTAATTTTGAAGGCCCGTTCGGGTCAAAACTATGCGAATTACAGTCGAACCTCAAGCTTAGGTGGTTGATTACGGGAGGTGGTCGCTTACGAGAGCTTAGACCGGTGTTGGGTCAAAATTTATCCTCATTAGCTTATGGTAACTTCAAGATACTGAGAAGACTGGTAGAGTACAGTGTATATGCATTTTTTCTTTAAATTTTTAAAAGTTTTTCATGTGCACGTGAAAAGTCAATTTCGAGAAAAAAAAATCTCGTACTTTCCCGGAATGCAACAATGTTACAACACCTTATTATCCAATTTTCCCACTATTATCTGTCAAGGGGTCGCTTTCGGGAGGTTAAAGGAAACAGTTAAAACTTTTAGCTCTGAAAGTGGTCGCGGTCGTTTACGAGAGGTGGTCGCTTACGAGCGGTTCCAAATAGAGTGATTTGACTTGGAAATTAACTATTCATATCATAGTTGGAAAACTGTCGGCTGAGGAGAAGTGGTCGCATCCGGAGGTTCCACTGTATTTCTAAAAACACAGAAGAAATAAAACTGTTTGTTTAATTATTTGTACGGTGTTTCATAAATAGTTACATCATAATTACCGCCGCCTGGTGAGCTCAGTTAGTGGAGCGCCAGACTGCTGTGCGGAGGTCGAAGGTTCGAGCCCCATACCGGATCAACACTCAGGGTTCTAAAATAACTGAGGAGAATGTGTAAACTTTGAAATTACATTTGCAAGTGATTAGACGTTCAAGTCTTTTCGGATAAGAACTATAAACCGTAGGACACGTCTCCTGGATCTTTAGTGTTACATGGTTAGCGGGGGACGCTAATTAAAGAACCGCTACAATAATCGCCAAGAGTAGGGCACGGAGTTCTAGGTGTTGTGATCTGGCCTTGTCTCACCGGCTGGTGCTTTACTTAACGTTAACCTCATTGCGCCTTTCCCGCTTGGACAGAATAGTCCAAGAAAAATCGCTATGTCTTATATCTACTCTCAGAGAGCAGAGAGCAAACTGATCAGAATACAAAGGATATCTTCTCAAATCTTAAAACAATGCTTTCAAGCTGCCTCAAATATTGTTGCTCGGGGGCCAAGAAAAGCCTAAAAACGGCCTTCAAATTTTGTGGAAAATGACGAAAACCTCGTTCTTTTCTCTCTCGTACAACTACTAGGTCCCTGGGGGGTGCTCCAAGAAAAGTTGGGTAGCGGTGTGCGGTCCGCTTCCCAAAACCCTTACTCTATCAGTTTGTGACCAAAATCTGCGATATTCCCTACGCTATTTATGACCTGACCAAATATTCGATACCCTATTTATGCCATGACCATTAAATCAAAACCCTGTTTCAGACCTGCGTCATAATAAGTTCCCTAGTTCAGACCAATGTTAAATTATAGTAAACATAATCTGTGAATGATTTTTGTTAATTTTCTTTTCGCTATTGATGAAAAACATACCCATATCAAGGCTAGAGTGCAAAAGTCATACCCTATTTATGACCAAAATGGCCAAAATAGGCTTAAATCGATACCCTATTTATGACCAAAACGGCTGAATAACCATACCCTTTGGGCCTGCACATAGAGGAGATTCCCCTGCCCCCCTCCCGCTGAAGTAGGAATCAAAATATTATTGCCTTGATGACATAACAAAAATAAAATCTCAAAATAATCAAGAGTTGCATGTATGCATGGAACTTCACCATCAAAATGATGCCTGATGCTTATTGTAAATTGCATAAATTACTCCTACAATGTGCCAGAATTCTGTTAATCTGGTCACCAACAGGCCACAAAAAACTGACTGTATACTCAATAAATAAGAAAATGACCGACTGAGCTTTTGTTTGAGCCAGAAAAGAGTGGCCATAATAACGGGGTGGCTGTGTTAACGGGGGTGGCCGTAAGGCGAGGTACGTGCCACAGTAGTGATAAAGATGATACTCTCAAACACCTGTACCCATAAAGATTTTGGGCAGTATATTTTGCATAATCAGTTGGAAGAGGAAGAGGGAAAATGGAAATAAAATAGAATGGCTCTTGTGTACCAGAGACAACCCTTTCCCCGAGTTACCCTGGCGGAGTTAACTTTTCACTTATTTCTTTGCAAAATTCAACCAACCGTTTACACGTACCAGACTTGGGGGCGAGGCAATTCAGGTGGGCAAGTTGACTCGCCTTGGCAGGTAAAGTAACCAACAACCTTTCTTGGAGTATACATAAACACTTTGGCTCGCCGAACTGGAACAACTCTCGGCATGGTGAGTGTCGCGTAATGCCTAGATTTAAGATTTAAAGCAGCAATTTGTATCAAAGAAGAGAAAATTAAAAGATCGCGGGAAATAGGTTCTGGAATTGACGTCACTAGTCCCATTCCCCCCGATTGTGGCCTCACTCGGACTTGAACCCAAATGGCGTCTTTTTTGGCGGGATTTTCCGAAGATTTAACCAAATTAAAAAAATTTTTCGAATTTGTATTCTGGATAATACGAAAAAATAATTTAGATAGAAAAACTTTTAGGGGTTAGGTGCACTTCAAATAAAAAGAAGTTTCTTTCAATCCATTTTGCTGTTATCGAGTGAAATTTCTTACCAAGTTTTGTTTATAGAAAATAACAGTTATTTAGGGACCAAAAGGAGAAAAGTTACTGAATAGAATTAACATCAAGGCAGGGCAGTCAACCGCGATGACGATCCTTCCTATCTGGCAAAAGTCAAATTTCGTTTGAGACCACCACTTTCAGGGACTTTTTTCTTAACTTTTCTCGCTACTTCCAGCTACTTTCGGACGGCCAATAGCCTTTGGGGGACTACAGATTCAACGATTTTATCAAAGTATATAAAGCTGATACAGCACTTCCACTCTTTTATTTAAAGTTAAGCTCTGAATACAGCACAGTAAAAAGAGAATCAAATATCCAGTTTAGGACCAACGCCTCGCCGGCAACGACGATTAGGCCGTTCTGCCGTTCTGGGGACGAGAATGTGTAAATCACTGTGACAGTTTTTGTATGACTTAATGAGGCACTCGTTTCCCTTCAAGCGAATGATTGACCTTAGAAGTTCGTCTACCAAGAAATAATAACCGATGATTAATTTCCATCACTTGGAAATGAGAACATTACAATGTCTTTCTCTCTTCTTTGTTTCAGGTGGTGAACCCCAGTCCTTTCCGACCAATTTAGCGGTAACTGTGACGGTCAGCGGTGTTGCTGCCTTAGCCATTCTCTGTGCAACCGCTTACCTTGTTGTGCGCAGCTGCAGCAAGCGCAGGCAACATGGAGATTTGAACGTGGCTACCTAAACTCCAGATTCCGGGGGTGGGGCCTACCATATGACAAGGTCGGGGATGCTCGCCGTCTCGCTTAGGGATATAAATCAAGGATTCTGATCTCCCTTAAGGTGTTCATGATGAAACGCGCCAATAATTCTTAGCTTTCAAAGTATCTTTTAGGGTGCACTCAAGAAAATAGGGATAAAAAAACACTGTTAGTTCCATTTTTTGGCTCGATTTCCGCCACTCTCACGAGTCTGGTCTACTAGTGCGGGTTCCTTTCCTGAACAGTGGCTGGTAACCGAGCCTATTCCATTTTAAGTGGTATCTTTTAGGAGTCAAATAAAGCCCGAACTACGCCCAGTTTGGTCTCCTTCAGGGGGATCTAAAATTCAAATTTTCCGACGAGCATCCTCAACCTTTTCATATGGGAGTTCCTCAGAGCTCCAGATTAAAATCCCCGGCCATTTACAGGAGCTCTACAGACTATAGCACTAGCGGAACACACTCGACATACATTTCATTTTAATTTTTTGTTTGCTATACGTTTTTAAAAGCAGTAAAGAAACGGCTTTAATGAAGAAAGTTTACTGCGTGGCGAGACAGAATCGTGATCTATACTGATCTATAAAGTTAATTTTGGATATTGCGTTAGACCACAGAGCAGTTCCTATTTTAGTCAGGAAGTTCGACGTCGGTGAAACATTCATCACCCCAAAATCAAGAGACATAGAATACTAGCTGATCGCTTCATGTTAATTGGACGAAGTGTCTTGTTTCAAATTTGGAATAAACCTTAATGACTAAAGTAGGGAGGAGATCAGCGGACAAGTGCGTCAAAATATTTTGAGGAAAGAATCAGTACAGACTGTATCGCAGTTTTGTGCTGTGATTGCATGGAAGGACGGTTAAATCAATTAACTTTGCAGTTTCTCTGAACTGACCCAGATAAACCTCAACTGTAATGGTACTTGACCGTCGATTTTTTAGCATTGTTTCCTCCGTTTTTGACAACATTTTAATTCGTAAACGTTATTTTAGTACTACTTTAAACATTCTAGATAATACTGATTATATTTGATATTGTATATTCCTCTTTAATTTTATATGCCTATCTGGCGATTTTGCGCGCGAGTGCTTTTGTTACAATTCTTTCCTCGCGCGTGAAATCCCTCCTGCTGGTTTTTAGTTTTTAAAATACATAACGAGAGATGGAAATAGTTTAAAAACAACATAAGAAATACAGGCCATTAAGATTATCGTCTCTTAAGGCCCTCTATAAACAATCCCCGAATCTGATTTTAAGCTGCTTTTTGTACTTGTTTTTTCGTGTGTTCTAAATAAAAATTTTATAACTGAGACATTTTTCTGGCGACCCTCAAATGGTATTTTCTAAGGAAGCGGATATTGCCTGATGGGATATGAGGGGAAAACGCGAAGCGCGATAGACGATCGAGTGCTAGATTCCGTCCACGAAAAGTGCACGCGAGGAAACCCACGCGAAGCAAAGGCCGAGAGAAAACTGGTGATGAGGAAACTGCCTGCACGGATACTATGGAGTTTTTTATGCAGTGCTAGATTTCATTGACACCGTTTAACAGCCAATTAGAAAGAGAGTCAGAGAATAAGACAGGCTATTGATTATAACGACACAAACTGCGTCAGTGCTTATCATCAGTAAACTGTTATCCTTGCTGGGACAAGTGTACACAGGACTTACAAAGCGAGGAAAGACAACAAAACAAAGACCAGTGCAGCCAAAATACGTCAGTAAGGTAAAACATTTGTGTTAGCTGCGTACTTTATAGTTTTTTCCTCGGAGATATATATTTTGAGATTGCAGGTCTCAGTGTGAGTGCTAATTAACTATTGTAGGTGTTTCAAGTAGAGGCTTTCGAGTGTCCCTGGGGCAATCTCGAGTTCTTAAACAGTCATGTATACCGGCCACTTGTACTGATATCCGACATGCTCTTCTAACCAAATCAGTCAGCTCATTCCTTTTCCCACTGATCTCATTTTTGTCTTCCCTAAAACTTCTGCTTACAGCCTGCTGTCATTGATGTAACAACATACAAATAAAATGAACCCCGGCGCGTAGACGGGAAAGGATAAAAAACAAATTAGCTGAACCTGACGAAGTCCAACACGGTAGAATTTCAACGTGCATTTGTCCGTATTATCCGTGATGCGAAAAAGCATTCTCTTGTAATAATGTGAACACCGGAACTAAGTTTGGTTATGTGTCTTTCCTGAGATGCTGTAACGCTAAAACTTTCCTCTGCTAACATTTT